TCGGACAAACGACTATCTTCTTTTTTAGATCAGAATTTGAACACCGGTGTTCACTGCGTCTGAACACACATGTTAATATTTTTAACACAAACGTTAAAACTTTGAACACGTCTCTAAGCATGAACATATGACGTTAAAATATTGAACATTCGGTGTACAAATTTTGAACGCGTCCGGACGCGTCAGGCGTCAGGTATATTTACAGTGTATATGAGCGACTTCATTCCATTTTTCAAAATCCTCAATAAATTAAGTCGCTACTGCAGATGTCGATGAAACGAAAATCCCTGGTATGGTAACTCTCCTTCACATAATGTTTCATCATTGAATGTTGTTGTTTTGGTTTTCTTTATTTATTGAACTTGCAACTCGAAATGTTATCGTATACATTTCCACGTTTATTAGGTACTGGGATACCGTATAGAACACCTGGTCAAAGTTCTCGGAATAAGAATGGCAAGATTAAACGTCCAATGAATGCCTTTATGATCTGGGCAAGAACAGCCAGAGGAAAGCTGGCTGAAGAAACCCCAAATGCATCAAATGCTGAGATAAGTGTCAAATTAGGAGAGTTGTGGAGTCGGCTTTCCAAGGAAGAGAAGCAGAAATACTACATGGAAGCAGAAAGGGTTAAAGCAAGACACAGACAAGACTTCCCAGGTTCGCAGTATTACAATTCATTAACAGAAAAACTTATGAAACTCCCAGATATACATTAGAATATTTAACCCATTATCATGCAGCAAATGATGAAAACTGTTCATGAAATAACAATTTCTACAACATTCCCTAAAAATCATCGATATTCTAATTTATTCCGGTCAAATTTACATTTTATATATTGACTATGAGAAGAACAACGATAAAAGCGATGTTCCTATGGTTCTGAGTGTAGAGATTCTATACACCATCTCTTTTTCCCCCCAATTACTAGTAGCTGATTCTTCATATATGTGCTTCAAAAAATATGAAAATCAATCAAAATTAAAACGAAGATGCTCAGATGCAGTTCAAACAATTCTAAATATATGCAATATGCCATAATTGTAATCCGTTATATCGAATCTAGATATAGATTTCATGTCTAAATTAATTTTTTGATGCTATATGGTTTATGATTTAGACCGCCGGTCTACCTTAAACACGTAACATATCCTGATATTTCTGCTTTTGGCGCCCTTATCTGTCCTTAACTTCATCAGGAAATGCTGAAAGCCAAATAAAAAGCGAATAGGATAGATAGTTAAAAAGATATTAAGAAAACAACCGCGAGGAAAAGATTTACCAGAGGAAGTTGGACCCAAAATGGATTTCAAGTGAAAATTTATCGAATTCATGTGAAAATTTATCAAAATATTTGCCATAGAATAACTTCAATAAGTCCAATGATATGACTGTTAGGTGAATAATCATGCGTACCGCTTTATTTCATTGTGATCAAATCGATTCTTAAATCAATTCTTTTGTGAGAAACTCAAAATTATCATTCTTATAATCTTTGGAGAATTGTTGGCTCCTCTATAGTTCAGAGTATTTACTGTGGCCTAGTGGTTTCCCAGGAAAAAAATAAACAATTTAAGACTGACGGACGGTTGACTTCTAGAGATGACTATGCAGATGAGTTAAGGAAATACGACGACACCCAACACAAAAAGGAAACAATTGAAAGTCATGATTTGTTTAAAAATTTGATATTGAATTGATTTATATTGTTCTTTTAAGCATCATAATTCAATTATTATAGATTGGATTTATCAACCAGAGCCATCGACAAAGAAAGGCGTCGAGGAATGTGGAACAACTCTCAATCACAGACAGCTATGGACTAAATACAACGAAAATCGTCCAAAAATAGTTGCAAGTCAGATTGCACCGACACCTCAAGGACCTTTTGTTAGTTTCATTGGACAACAAAACAGACCAATATTACCCCGTAATGTAATGCCTATTCAACCTGTAACGATGCTACCTCCGGGTAACCAATTTATCTGTCCGCCAGGAGTACGAATCGTTCAACCAATGCAGTATCCCATGGTTGGACAGCCTTTCCAGCCAAGGAATTTCGTGAATGGTATGTTAATTATATTTACCGCTTTACAGCAACACTTATTATCACTGAATTTACGCAGCGAAAAACATTCATCTTTCATATACACAACAATATCATATAACAAATTGTTATTAAACATTATCATACAGGACTCGTTATAATAACATACTAGTAATCCGTTACAAATATATCTTGATCAATATATATATATGTTACAGGCATATTCTAAATTTAGGCATTTTGTAAAATGCCTGAAAACTGTAGGCATTTCATATATTGACTAATTTTTTTCAGTCATTTTACAAAATGCCTGGAAAAATTGAAAGGCATTTCACAAAATGCCTGAAATTATGTTATAAATGAAATGTTCACAAAAACTGAGCCATTGAAAGTATTGAACAACGGAGCAGTTTTATCTATGATAATTAATTACTTTTGACGCTTGCATTTTAAAAGAGTTTTAATAATTAGAAATAAATTCTACTGATTATTTTAATTCCCACAAGAACTGAACTCGACAACTATTTGTTGTTTCATAAAAAGTTTGGATACTGGAAACTTCTGTTACACCTTTGTCCTGATTGTATTGCAAATACATAGTTTGGTGAAATCCGGACAATGACACATTTAGTTTTGTCAATACTTTTTTTGATAAAAACTTGAAATTCGAAAAACATGGTGTTTTGCAATCAGCACATACATGCATATCTTCTTTTTCATGTGTTCCCAAAAGATTCAAAGTAACATTAACATGATTAGGTCTGAAGCAGATCTTCGCATGGCCAATAATGCATACATAGCAGAGACGCTTACCCAGAAACATTCGGGTTGCTTCTTATGGAGTTCATGCGATTCCCTCAGGTTTTATTGAGTTTGTCTTGGTTTTGTCTCTTGTTGATCGGTTTTTGAGATTTGAACATCGGTAAACTACTGTCGATTTACATCATGAGATAATTGTGCAGACCCAAGAAATTCCTTGAGGCAGCGAAGATGAAGATACTCATATCTTTGCATCACAACCAAACATGACCTTTTATAGTGAAACCCATGCATGCTAAAGAAGGGAATCCGTTTGACTGTGTAGAATTAATGAATTATGTCTTTCTAAATGGGTACATTAAATCTGATGCCCGTATTAGGAGAGATTGTAAGAACAATTTGTCTCTCTGGAAGCGTAACAAGAAGATCATAAATGTACTATCTGAAATACAGAGTGAGTACATAGAGTGGGTCTCATTGGGGTCTAAGCGTGACCCGGGATTGCCGATTTTTTGTAAGCGTGACACGTGAAAGTCAAATTATTGCGCCGTGAAAACGGGAAATGAAGTCTAGCGGGACACGGGAAATTACAAAAAAAATGAGAATTGCTTACGTTCATAGTGTACTGAAGCGGGATACGGGAATCTGACAAAACAGTAAGCGGGATCCGGGATCAGAACCCCCCAATGAGACCCCCCATAGAGAAACACAAAAACTCTAATTATAGACATACATACCCAGCTGGTATTTGAAAAACAAATTTAACTTTACTGAGCCACAAGATATTCTTTTTTGCAACATGTTGTGTTTTGGTCATATGTATCTCAATGATATCCGTTTTCTACAAATTACCTTAACTGAACAGGTAATTTGTTGAATTTTGCTTCAACAATATGATGACTAGCAAGGTTATGCATTTTATAAATTGCCTGAAAATTCAGTCATTTTACAAAATGCCTAAATTTAGAAAAAGAGCCTGTAACATATACATCCATATAAGACGTGGGATATTATATGTTATTCAGGTCTCAGACAGGGTATATAATGTGACATTCCCGGCTTAGAGTTTATAATCCCTGAGCCGAAGGCGAAGGGTATATAAACCCTAACCGGCCGGGAATGTCACATTATATACCCTGTCTAAAACCTGAATTACACATATATTACGGATTACCCTGCCTTTATGTTTTTTCAGTACAGATATTTGTTAAACACTCACCATGCAGTAAATACCTGACTCAAGCTAGCGAACAATTGTAGCGAACAATTAGCTAGCGAACAATTAGGAGGTATAACTAAAAACCACAATATCACATAAGGTTATCACGTTTTTTCGAGCTAGCGAACAATTATGAGAATACATACAATCTTAAACAAAAACGAAAAAACTAACTTAAAACAAAAGGGAAACCATACTTCATATATAAAGAATACAAAGCTTTTCTTTCCTAACTAAATAAATCCACATAAGGCATTCAATAGACAACTGGATTACAATGACCATAAGTTAACACAATGACACAATGCATTTTTAGGGAATGGGGGTGCACTTTACGTTGTTTGGTCCGATTAATAGAGATTGTGACAGGTTAGGCTATATAGGTGTTTAAGAGGAGATAGTGCCGCATAGTTTAGGAAAATCTCCAGAGTGGTTTATGTTCGAAAATCTTAAATTGTGGTAGAAAAAAACTGAAATTAACAAAATGAAATTTGGGTATAGGACATTTTAAGTTAATTTTTGACCAATTTGAATAGATTGTTACAGGCAACGACTATATAGGTGTTTTAGAGGAGACATTTCTGTATCGTTTAGGAAAATCTCCAGAGAGGTTTATGTTCGAAAATCTGAAGTTACGGTAAAAAAAACTGAAATTGACAAAATAAGATTAGGGGGGTAGGGCACTAAAAGTTAATGTTGAACCAATTTATAGAGATTGTGACGGGCAACGACTATATAGTTGTTGTAGAGGAGACATTGGCGCATCGTGTAGAAAAAAAATCCAGATCACTTTATGTTCGAAAATAGGAAGTTACGGTTAAAAAACTGAAACTTTCAAAATGAGATTGTGGGGTTGGGCACTCAAAGTTAATTTTGGACCAATTTCAAGAGATTGTGACGGGCAACGAATATATAGGTGTTGTAGAGGAGACAATGGCGCATCGTTTAAGAAAATCTCAAGATTGGTTTATGTTCGAAAATCTGAACTTAAGGTTAAAAAACTGAAATTGTGAAATTGAATAAATGAGATTAGGGGGTAGGCCAATTTAAGTTAATTTTGGACCAATTTCAAGAGATTGTGACGGGCAATGACTATATAGGTGTTGTAGGGGAGACAATGGCGTATTGTTTAAGAAAATCTCCAGAGTGGTTTATGTTCGAAAATCTGAAGTTACGGTTAAAAAACTGAAAATTTTATTGTGAAATTGACAAAATGAGATAAGGGGGGTAGGGCACTAAAAGAAAAATTTGGACCATTTTAAAGAGATTGTGACGGACAACAACTATATAGGTGTTGTAGAGGAGACAATGGCGCATCGTTTAAGAAAATCTCCAGAGTGGTTTATGTTCGAAAATCTGAACTTACGGTTAAAAAACTGAAATTGTGAAATTGACAAAATGAGATTAGGGGGTATGCCAATTTAAGTTAATTTTGGACCATCTTCAAGAAATTGTGACGGGCAACGACTATATAGGTGTTGTAGAGGAGACAATGGCGCATCGTTTAAGAAAATCTGCAGAGTGGTTTATGTTCGAAAATCTGAAGTTACGGTTAAAAAACTGAAATTGTGAAATTGACAAAATGAGATTAGGGGGTAGGCCAATTTAAGTTAATTTTGGGCCAATTTCAAGAGATTGTGACGGGCAACGACTATATGGATGTTGTAGAGGAGACAATGGCGCATCGTTTAAGAAAATCTCCAGAGTGGTTTATGTTCGAAAATCTGAAGTTACGGTTAAAAAACTGAAATTGTGAAATTGACAAAATGAGATTAGGGGGGTAGGCCAATTTAAGTTAATTTTTGACCAATTTCAAGAGATTGCGACGGGCAACGACTATATAGGTGTTGTAGAGGAGACAATGGCGCGTCGTTTAAGAAAATCTGCAGAGTGGTTTATGTTCGAAAATCTGAAGTTACGGTTAAAAAACTGAAAATTTTATTGTGAAATTGACAAAATGAGATTAGGGGGGCAGGGAACATAAAGAAAAAATTGGACCATTTTAAAGAGATTGTGACGGAGAACGACTATATAGGTGTTGTAGAGGAGACAATGGCGCATCGTTTAAGAAAATCTCCAGAGTGGTTTATGTTCGAAAATCTGAAGTTACGATTAAAAAACTGAAAATTTTATTGTGAAATTGACAAAATGAGATTAGGGGGTAGGCCAATTTAAGTTAATTTTGGACCAATTTCAAGAGATTGTGACGGGCAACGACTATATAGGTGTTGTAGAGGAGACAATGGCGCATCGTTTAAGAAAATCTCCAGAGTGGTTTATGTTCGAAAATCTGAAGTTACGGTTAAAAAACTGAAATTGTGAAATTGACAAAATGAGATTAGGGGGTAGGCCAATTTAAGTTAATTTTGGGCCAATTTCAAGAGATTGTGACGGGCAACGACTATATGGATGTTGTAGAGGAGACAATGGCGCATCGTTTAAGAAAATCTCCAGAGTGGTTTATGTTCGAAAATCTGAAGTTACGGTTAAAAAACTGAAATTGTGAAATTGACAAAATGAGATTAGGGGGCAGGCCAATTTAAGTTAATTTTGGACCAATTTCAAGAGATTGCGACGGGCAACGACTATATAGGTGTTGTAGAGGAGACAATGGCGCGTCTTTTAAGAAAATCTCCAGAGTGGTTTATGTTCGAAAATCTGAAGTTACGGTTAAAAAACTGAAAATTTTATTGTGAAATTGACAAAATGAGATTGGGGGAAAGGCCAATTTAAGTTAATTTTGGACCAATTTCAAGAGATTGTGACGGACAACGACTATATAGGTGTTGTAGAAGAGACAATGGCGCGTCGTTTAAGAAAATCTCCAGAGTGGTTTATGTTCGAAAATCTTAAGTTACGATTAAAAAACTGAAACTTTTATTGTCAAATTGACAAAATGAGATTAGGGGGTAGGCCAATTTAAGTTAATTTTGGACCAATTTCAAGAGATTGTGACGGGCAACAACTATATGGATGTTGTAGAGGAGACAATGGCGCATCGTTTAAGAAAATCTCCAGAGTGGTTTATGTTCGAAAATCTGAAGTTACGGTTAAAAAACTGAAATTGTGAAATTGACAAAATGAGATTAGGGGGAAAGGCCAATTTAAGTTAATTTTGGACCAATTTCAAGAGATTGTGACGGGCAACAACTATATGGATGTTGTAGAGGAGACAATGGCGCATCGTTTAAGAAAATCGCCAGAGTGGTTTATGTTCGAAAATCTGAAGTTACGGTTAAAAAACTGAAATTGTGAAATTGACAAAATGAGATTAGGGGGAAAGGCCAATTTAAGTTAATTTTGGACCAATTTCAAGAGATTGTGACGGACAACGACTATATAGGTGTTGTAGAAGAGACAATGGCGCGTCGTTTAAGAAAATCTCCAGAGTGGTTTATGTTCGAAAATCTGAAGTTACGATTAAAAAACTGAAACTTTTATTGTCAAATTGACAAAATGAGATTAGGGGGTAGGCCAATTTAAGTTAATTTTGGACAAATTTCAAGAGATTGTGACGGGCAACGACTATATAGGTGTTGTAGAGGAAACAATGGCGCATCGTTTAAGAAAATCTCCAGAGTGGTTTATGTTCGAAAATCTGAAGTTACGGTTAAAAAACTGAAAATTTTATTGTGAAATTGACAAAATGAGATTAAGGGGGTAGGGCACTAAAAGAACAATTTGGACCATTTTGAAGAGATTGTGACGGGCAACGACTATATAGGTGTTGTAGAGGAGACATTGGCGCATCGTTTAAGAAAATCTCCAGAGTGGTTTATGTTCGAAAATCTGAAGTTACGGTTAAAAAACTGGAAAATTGTTTTTGTGAAATTGACAAAATGAGATTAAGGGGGTAGGGCACTAAAAGAAAAATTACGACCAATTTCAAGAGATTGTGACGGGCAACGACTATATAGGTGTTGTAGAGGAAACAATGGCGCATCGTTTAAGAAAATCTCCAGAGTGGTTTATGTTCGAAAATCTGAAGTTACGGTTAAAAAACTGAAATTGTGAAATTGACAAAATGAGATTAGGGGGGTAGGCCAATTTAAGTTAATTTTGGACCAATTTCAAGAGATTGTGACGGGCAACAACTATTAAGATGTTGTAAAAGAGACAATGGCGCATCGTTTAAGAAAATCTCCAGAGTGGTTTATGTTCGAAAATCTGAAGTTACGGTTAAAAAACTGAAAATTTTATTGTGAAATTGACAAAATGAGATTAGGGGTGTAGGGCACAAAAAGAAAAATTAGGACCATTTTAAAGAGATTGTGACGGGCAACGACTATATAGGTGTTGTAGAGGAGATAATGACGCATCGTTTAAGAAAATCTCCAGAGAGGTTTATGTTCGAAAATCTGAAGTTACGGTTAAAAAACTGAAAATTTTATTGTGAAATTGACAAAATGAGATTAGGGGGTAGGCCAATTTAAGTTAATTTTGGACCAATTTCAAGAGATTGTGACGGGCAACGACTATATAGGTGTTGTAGAGGAGACAATGGCGCATCGTTTAAGAAAATCTCCAGTGTGGTTTATGTTCGAAAATCTGAAGTTACGATTAAAAAACTGAAACTTTTATTGTGAAATTGACAAAATGAGATTAGGGGGGTAGGGCAATTTAAGTTAATTTTGGACCAATTTCAAGAGATTGTGACGGGCAACGACTATATAGGTGTTGTAGAAGAAACAATGGCGCATCGTTTAAGAAAATCTCCAGAGTGGTTTATGTTCGAAAATCTGAAGTTACGGTTAAAAAACTGAAAATTTTATTGTGAAATTGACAAAATGAGATTAGGGGGTATGCCAATTTAAGTTAATTTTGGGCCATCTTCAAGAGATTGTGACGGGCAACGACTATATAGGTGTTGTAGAGGAAACAATGGCGCATCGTTTAAGAAAATCTCCAGAGTGGTTTATGTTCAAAAATCTGAAGTTACGGTTAAAAAACTGAAAATTTTATTGTGAAATTGACAAAATGAGATTAAGGGGGTAGGGCACTAAAAGAACAATTTGGACCATTTTGAAGAGATTGTGACGGGCAACGACTATATAGGTGTTGTAGAAGAGACATTGGCGCATCGTTTAAGAAAATCTCCTGAGTGGTTTATGATCGAAAATCTGAAGTTACGGTTAAAAAACTGGATTTTTTTTTTTTTTTTTTTTTGTGAAATTGAGAAAATGAAATTAGGGGGGTAGGGCACAAAAAGAAAAATTAGGACCATTTTAAAGAGATTGTGACGGACAACGACTATATAGGTGTTGTAGAGGAGATAATGACGCATCGTTTAAGAAAATCTCCAGAGAGGTTTATGTTCGAAAATCTGAAGTTACGGTTAAAAAACTGAAAATTTTATTGTGAAATTGACAAAATGAGATTAGGGGGTAGGCCAATTTAAGTTAATTTTGGACCAATTTCAAGAGATTGTGACGGGCAACGACTATATAGGTGTTGTAGAGGAGACAATGGCGCATCGTTTAAGAAAATCTCCAGAGTGGTTTATGTTCGAAAATCTGAAGTTACGGTTAAAAAACTGAAATTGTGAAATTGACAAAATGAGATTAGGGGGTCGGCCAATTTAAGTTAATTTTGGACCAATTTCAAGAGATTGTGACGGGCAACGACTATATAGGTGTTGTAGACGAGACAATGGCGCATTGTTTAAGAAAATCTCCAGAGTGGTTTATGTTCGAAAATCTGAAGTTACAGTTAAAAAACTGAAATTGTGAAATTGACAAAATGAGATTAGGGGGTAGGCCAATTTAAGTTAATTTTGGACCAATTTCAAGAGATTGTGACGGGCAACGACTATATAGGTGTTGTAGACGAGACAATGGCGCATTGTTTAAGAAAATCTCCAGAGTGGTTTATGTTCGAAAATCTAAAGTTACAGTTAAAAAACTGAAATTGTGAAATTGACAAAATGAGATTAGGGGGTAGGCCAATTTAAGTTAATTTTGGACCTATTTCAAGAGATTGTGACGGGCAACGACTATATAGGTGTTGTAAAAGAGACAATGGCGCATTGTTTAAGAAATAATCCAGAGTGGTTTATGTTCGAAAATCTGAAGTTACGGTTAAAAAATTGAAAAATTTATTGCGAAATTGACAAAATGAGATTAAGGGGGTAGGGCACTAAAAGGAAATTTTGGACCACTTCAAAGAAATTGTGACGGGCAACGACTATATAGGTGTTGTAGAGGAGACATTGGCGCATCGTTTAAGAAAATCTCCAGAGTGGTTTATGTTCGAAAATCTGAAGTCACGGTTAAAAAACTGAAATTGCGAAATTGACAAAATGAGATAAGGGGGGTAGGCCAATTTAAGTTAATTTTGGACCAATTTCAAGAGATTGTGACGGGCAACGACTATATAGGTGTTGTAGAGGAGACAATGGCGCATTGTTTAAGAAATTATCCAGAGTGGTTTATGTTCGAACATCTGAAGTTACGGTTAAAAAACTGAAAATTTTATTGTGAAATTGACAAAATGAGATTAAGGGGGTAGGGCACTAAAAGAAAAATTTGGACCATTTTAAAGAGATTGTGACGGGCAACGACTGTATAGGTGTTGTAGAGGAGACAATGGCGCTTCGTTTAAGAAAATCTCCAGAGTGGTTTATGTTCGAAAATCTGAAGTTACGATTAAAAAACTGAAACTTTTAATGTGAAATTGACAAAATGAGATTAGGGGGGTAGGGCAATTTAAGTTAATTTTGGACCAATTTCAAGAGATTGTGACGGACAACGACTATATAGGTGTTGTAGACGAGACAATGGCGCATCGTTTAAGAAAATCTCCAGAGTGGTTTATGTTCGAAAATCTGAAGTTACAGTTAAAAAACTGAAATTGTGAAATTGACAAAATGAGATTAGGGGGTAGGCCAATTTAAGTTAATTTTTGACCTATTTCAAGAGATTGTGACGGGCAACGACTATATAGGTGTTGTAAAAGAGACAATGGCGCATCGTTTAAGAAAATCTCCAGAGTGGTTTATGTTCCAACATCTGAAGTTACAGTAAAAAAACTGAAATTGTGAAATTGACAAAATGAGATTAGGGGGTAGGCCAATTTAAGTTAATTTTGGACATATTTCAAGAGATTGTGACGGGCAACGACTATATAGGTGTTGTAAAAGAGACAATGGCGCATTGTTTAAGAAATAATCCAGAGTGGTTTATGTTCGAAAATCTGAAGTTACGGTTAAAAAACTGAAAATTTTATTGCGAAATTGACAAAATGAGATTAAGGGGGTAGGGCAGTTAAAGGAAATTTTGGACCACTTCAAAGAAATTGTGACGGGCAACGACTATATAGGTGTTGTAGAAGAGACATTGGCGCATCGTTTAAGAAAATCTCCAGAGTGGTTTATGTTCGAAAATCTGAAGTTACGGTTAAAAAACTGAAATTGCGAAATTGACAAAATGAGATAAGGGGGGTAGGCCAATTTAAGTTAATTTTGGACCAATTTCAAGAGATTGTGACGGGCAACGACTATATAGGTGTTGTAGAGGAGACAATGGCGCAATGTTTAAGAAATTATCCAGAGTGGTTTATGTTCGAACATCTGAAGTTACGGTTAAAAAACTGAAAATTTTATTGTGAAATTGACAAAATGAGATTAAGGGGGTAGGGCACTAAAAGAAAAATTTGGACCATTTTAAAGAGATTGTGACGGGCAACGATTTTATAGGTGTTGTAGAGGAGACAATGGTGCTTCGTTTAAGAAAATCTCCAGAGTGGTTTATGTTCGAAAATCTGAAGTTACGATTAAAAAACTGAAACTTTTAATGTGAAATTGACAAAATGAGATTAGGGGGGTAGGGCAATTTAAGTTAATTTTGGACCAATTTCAAGAGATTGTGACGGACAACGACTATATAGGTGTTGTAGACGAGACAATGGCCCATCGTTTAAGAAAATCTCCAGAGTGGTTTATGTTCGAAAATCTGAAGTTACAGTTAAAAAACTGAAATTGTGAAATTGACAAAATGAGATTAGGGGGTAGGCCAATTTAAGTTAATTTTGGACCAATTTCAAGAGATTGTGACGGGCAACGACTATATAGGTGTTGTAGAGGAGACAATGGCGCATCGTTTAAGAAAATCTCCAGAGTGGTTTATGTTCGAACATCTGAAGTTACGGTTAAAAAACTGAAAATTTTATTGTGAAATTGACAAAATGAGATTAAGGGGGTAGGGCACTAAAAGAAAAATTTGGACCATTTTAAAGAGATTGTGACGGGCAACGATTTTATAGGTGTTGTAGAGGAGACAATGGTGCTTCGTTTAAGAAAATCTCCAGAGTGGTTTATGTTCGAAAATCTGAAGTTACGATTAAAAAACTGAAACTTTTAATGTGAAATTGACAAAATGAGATTAGGGGGGTAGGGCAATTTAAGTTAATTTTGGACCAATTTCAAGAGATTGTGACGGACAACGACTATATAGGTGTTGTAGACGAGACAATGGCCCATCGTTTAAGAAAATCTCCAGAGTGGTTTATGTTCGAAAATCTGAAGTTACAGTTAAAAAACTGAAATTGTGAAATTGACAAAATGAGATTAGGGGGTAGGCCAATTTAAGTTAATTTTGGACCTATTTCAAGAGATTGTGACGGGCAACTACTATATAGGTGTTGTAAAAGAGACAATGGCGCATCGTTTAAGAAAATCTCCAGAGTGGTTTATGTTCGAAAATCTGAAGTTACAGTTAAAAAACTGAAATTGTGAAATTGACAAAATGAGATTAGGGGGTAGGCCAATTTAAGTTAATTTTGGACCTATTTCAAGAGATTGTGACGGGCAACGACTATATATGTGTTGTAAAAGAGACAATGGCGCATTGTTAAAGAAATTATCCAGAGTGGTTTATGTTCGAAAATCTGAAGTTACGGTTAAAAAACTGAAAATTTTATTGCGAAATTGACAAAATGAGATTAAGGGGGTAGGGCACTAAAAGGAAATTTTGAACCACTTCAAAGAAATTGTGACGGGCAACGACTATATAGGTGTTGTAGAGGAGACATTGGCGCATCGTTTAAGAAAATCTCCAGAGTGGTTTATGTTCGAAAATCTGAAGTTACGGTTAAAAAACTGAAACTTTTAATGTGAAATTGACAAAATGAGATTAGGGGGGTAGGGCACTAAAAGGACCATTTCAAAGAGATTGTGACGGACAACGACTATATAGGTGTTGTAGAGGAGACATTGGCGCATCGTTTATGAAAATCTCCAGAGTGTTCAAAATCTGAAGTAACTGTTAAAAAAACTGAAATTGTAAAAACGAGGGATGGCGTACCTTAAGATGATTGAAGACCAATTTATAGAGATTGTGATGGGCAACGACTGTATATGTAACGTAGATGAGACATTAGAGAAGACATTGGCGCATCTATTTAGAAAAACTCCAGAATCGTTTATGTTTGGAAATCTGAAGTTAGGTTAAAAAAAATAGGGGGGGGGGGGGGGGGGGGTTACCTTGTATAATGGAATGATGTTACTTTTTATACTTGTATGAAAAAGTACATCAATATTTTTCCCGCTATCCGACAGTATGTATACACCGTTTACAACACACTTTGTTGAAATCAACATTCTCTTGAGTCGGTAGTCCACAAACACGACAATGAAGTAAGTAATTTTTTTTATTGAAATAACAGGGTCCTAAAACTTTGACAATGTCATTTTATATTCTTTTTGCATATCTCTTTCTGTCAACTCCTTCGCCATCCACATAAAACATGGATGATTGTAAACGTGCACATTATTACATATTTGTATACTGCACACAACATAATTGATAATAATGGTCCCCAAAAATGGAAAGAAATATAATACAGTCCTATTAATTTTATTTTACTAATAAAAAAGAAGTGATTGCTGAAATAAAGAAGTAATTTGTCTGAAAGCTTTGGAATTATCTTGTTGAATGACCAAACCACACCCCTTCCCTTTTTTCGACGAGTCAACGGTCGTTAAACGTTCTACGGGTGAAAGTACATTTATCTCCGAGCTTCGTTGAGTATAATAGGGTAATAGCTAAACTTCTGATAAACTTTGTCAAATTATTTGACTGAGACAATTTCATTTTTTCACAAAATAATGGAAAATATGAGAGAACAGTAATACAAAAACGAAATTTAAAACACAACTTTGATTTGAATTTAAAATTTTAATAGATGTTTATATCAATGTTTATTGTTTTGTCTGTCCGAACTCAGCATCTGTCAAATTCATAAATATTATGGGGACGATACGCAAGTTTATGGCAAGAGTTGAAAGATGTTCGTCTGTGGTAGCTAATAACGGTTTATTATCTTTCTCGTGAATTAACTAGGTTGCACGTGTTCCAATTTAAGTGTTTGTCAACTTTTATGTTAATCAGTTGTTTCTAGATTTTAGAAGAATTAGCGGTGCGATATCGAACTTTTATTTTTTTAGAAAATAAATATATTTACATTTACTCGCGTGTGAAATAATTCTAGTGAAAAAAATATAACAAAAAGGAATTCTATAACCTATCAATATTTTTAGCTTATTATGCCCCCGCCGTAGCGGAGGGGCATTAAGATTTACCCTTGTCCGTCTGTACGTCCGTGCGTCTGTACGTCCCAAATAATGCCAATGCTAAATATAAGGTAAAAGTCCAAGTCATCCTTTTCCCCCCATTAAAAAAAACATATATCACAAAAAGGAATTCTACAACCTATCAATATTTTTAGTGTATTATGCCCCGCCGTAGCAGAGGGGCATTAAGCTTTACCCTTGTCCGTCTGTACGTCCGTGCATCCGTACGTCCCAAATAATGCCGATGCTAAATATAATGTAAAAGTCCGAGTCATCCTTTTCGCCCCATTTAAAAAAAAATCATATATCACAAAAAGGAACTCGATAACCTATCAATATTTTTTAGCTTATTATGCCCCCGCCGTAGCGGAGGGGCATTAAACTTTACCCTTGTCCGTCTGTACGTCCGTGCATCCGTATGTCCCAAATAATGCCAATGCTAAATTTAATGTAAAAGTCCGAGTCATCCTATTCGTCCTATTTAAAAAAAAACATATAATTTTTATCACAAAAAGAGACTCGATAACCTACCAATATTATTTAGCTTATTATGCCCCCGCCGTAGCGGAGGGGCATTAAACTTTACCCTTGTCCGTCTGAACGTCCCTGTGTCCGTACGTCCCAAAATTGGTTTCCATTCTCTAACTTTAGTTTGCCTCAACCAATTGTCATAAAACTTTTACACAATATATAGATATAAGAAGATGTGGTATGAGTGCCAATGAGACAACTCTCCATCCAAGTCAAAATTTATAAAAGTAAACAATTATAGGTCAAAGTACGGTCTTCAACATGGAGCCTTAGCTCACACCGAACAGCAAGCTATAAAGGGCCCCAAAAATTACTAGTGTAAAACCATTCAAACGGGAAAACCAACGGTCTAATCTATATAAATAACGAGAAACGAGAAACACTTATGAACCACATCAACAAACGATGCTTATTACCACAAAACACAGATCAAATTTTAATTTTGGTGGCGTCACTTTTACCGTTCTAGAGTTATACTCCTTTACAAATAGAAAAATTGCTGAAATTTTCATTTCCGTTCTCTTTAACTCCAATTTGTCTCAACCAAATGTTATTTTGTTCCATAACTTATGCTCTTCTGACTTAAAGTATCAATTTTAGATCGGTTTTTATGTTAGAATTTCACCTACCTACACCCTACAGATGGCTTTATTACACATTTTTGAATATTCAAAAAGAGCTTTCTAAGGATAATTTTATATTCAACGTGTATAACTTCAATCGATGTTTTTACCTTTGACGTTTTTTTTAAACTTTTATTTCCCGTCTTACGAAAAGAGAAGAAGTCTGTTTGTTAACATTTTACACCATATTCACACGAAAAAAACAGGATAACACTCGAAAAAGACCAATCAATTCACGCTTTAAAACGATCAAGGGCACAAAATCGTCTACTTTGTCGTCGTGAAGTTTTCTTTTGATTTTTGTCGAGCCTGCGACTTTTGTCGCAAAAGCGAGACATAGCGATCCTACATTCCGTCGTCGGCGTTGTCGTCGTCGTCGTCCGGCGTCGTCGTCGTCGGCGGCGTCCACAAATATTCACTCTGTGGTTAAAGTTTTTAAAATTTTAATAACTTTCTTAAACTATCCTGGATTTCTAATAAACTTGGACAGAAGCTTGTTTATGATTATAAGATAGTATCCAGAAGTAAATTTTGTAAAAAAAATCCTGTTTATCCGTATTTTACTCATAAATGGACTTAGTTTTTCTGCCAGTTAACATAACATTCACTCTGTGGTTAAAGTTTTTCCAATTTTAATAACTTTCTTAAACTATCCTGGATTTGTACCATACTTGGACAGAAGCTTGTTTATGATCATAAGATAGTATTCAAAAGTTAATTTTGTTAAAAAAATAATCCTGTTTATCCGTATTTTACTTATAAATGGACTTAGTTTTTCTGCCAGTTAACATAACATTAACTGTGTGGTTAAAGTTTTTCAAATTTTAATAACTTTCTTTACACTATCCTGGATTTGTACCAAACTTGGACAGAAGCTTGTTTATGATCAAAAGCTAGTATCTAGAAGGAAATTTTGTAAAAAAAAAATTCCTGTTTTTCCGTATTTTACTTATAAATGGACTTAGTTGTTCTTCCAGTTAACATTACATACAGTCTGCAGTTAAAGTTTTTAAAACATTTATTAGATTCATAAACCATCCTGGATTCCTTCCAAACTTGAACAGAAGCTTCTTACAATCAAAAGATAGTATCTAGAGGAAAATTTGCAATAATTATTTCCCCATTTTTGTTGAGCCTGCGACTAACAGCAAAAGTAGGCGAGACACTGGGTTCCACGGAACCCTTACGAATTTGTTCGTATGAAACTGAAATGTAATCATATGTCAAAATCTGCAAAAAGCAAAAGTATTGCTGTTTATACAAGTATTACTTTTATTTAAAGTAAGTTCTCTGGGGTAAATTTCAGCAGTATGATTAGGGAATTCTTTATTATTTGAAGCAAAAATGCCATCAAGGTAACGGTAAGCGTTTTTAAATGTATCTATTAAATGGAATTTAGACGAATCTTCACTAAGAAATTGGCCATTAACTGAAATTCATAACAATACAGGAACAAGTTCTGAAGTAAAGTATCATAAGGATGAAAATTAAGAATTGAAAAAAAACCATTTGGTATTTCAAAAGTAGTTTTGTAGATAAATTGACTTGTGATTACAATGTAGATTTCAATCATTCCAATAAAGAGTTGGACCAAGTGATACCGGAGCGGACTGTTGGTTGCGAAATTGTCTAAAATGCAGGTTGAGGGTTGCGGGTTGCAGGTTGCAGGTTGAAGGTTGCGGGTTTAAGTATTAGATATACAACGAGGGCATTAGCATGAGAGGGTGTATCTAATTTACACAATTTTATGATCAACATGTGTTAAAGGCAGGGTATCCAATTACGTTAAACAACATTCTGCTGTAAATAAACTTACACCTAACAATAGAAATCTATCACTTTACATTAATCATAATATCTTGAGATGTAAATGCACTTAATTGGTCTAACACCCTCAGAGTTTATCTAATACATACACTTTCTGTTCGAAAAGAGAAAACTGAACAAATATCTGGGTAAAACTTTCAACAAATGCATAGAACATACATACTAAAACATCAAGACTTGACACAGTTTTTATATAGTGGTAAAGACTTATTGCCTTTAAACGGCTAGATGTACATACGTATATCATTGTATATATTTTTAATGAACGGTGTTTCTGAATTTTTCAGCGAAGTTCTATTGCATTCTTAGCAAGGATCCTTCTCAAAAGCCTACCTATTCAAATGTCTTGTTTTCAATTGATGCTCCTTCAAAGTTAAAATTAAGTTCTAAAATGGTGGACGATCGACTTTTTTTAAAAGAGTTATGTCCCTTGGAAAAATTAAATTTATGGAAAATGGCCTCGTTAGCGCTCATACAGGTACAATTCTTGCCAGATATTTATAAAACTTATACTTTAGATTAATATCAGCAGTATCTCGGACAAGTTCTATAAAGGTGGACAATCGGATTTTTTAATAAGATGATAAAATTATGCCACTTGAAAATATTAAATAAGTGCAACGCGGAAGAGATTGGAACTCCTTTTTTATTGAATATCAATCAAAACAATA